GAAAAGCCCGTGTTAGCTGAAAATCACAAGAGCCTTCGCATGCCTTGCGGACACATGCAGGGATCACGGTCTCCCAGACCGTTATAATCAAGAAAGAGGATGTGACATTTGCCGAAAAACGATGTGCATCAATGAGGACTGAAGAACACGACCTGAACACGCTCGTGTTCTCTGGCCGTGCTAGGGCTGACTTGACGTTTCCTCAGCTCGCGATCAAAAAGCCGCACTTGGGATTTAACACGGTCGTGTTAGGGACTGTATTCGAGCTGAAATCTATAGACTATAAAATTTACACCAGAAGGAAGAAAGGGGGAGCTGATTTTTGGAGGAGAACTTGGTTCTCTCTCTAGTGTTTTGACCCAAAACACCAAAGAGGAGTTCTAGAGAGAGTGTGTGTTTTTTTAGATTAATTGAAGTCTTGGGTTGATCATAGAGACAAGGATCCAAGCCTAGAAGATGAAGAAGATCTTGAGCTTTTTTTTTAATCTCTCTTCTCTCTTAATGAATTAGACCTTTTCTCTTAGGTTGATGAACTCTAGATCTAGATTTTGGGTTAATGTTAATGTGTGTGTCAAATACTATGTTTGATTGAGTTTATTATCTAATCGATGGATGGTTTTCATGAATTGCGTAAGTTTGGATTCCTTATCATGTCAATTGAGTTTTTGACCCATGAGGAAGATAATCTAATCTTCATCCTATATCGTCCGGGTAATCACCGAGGGAGTCGATTGGATTGATCTCCTACGATATAGGTTTGGCCTAGGTTAAATAGAGAACCAGCTATCCATCACTTTGTTGTTCCTTGTCCATTTAGAGGGAGTCAACCTCCTAATGTTAGGGTAGTGAGTCGATCAAGCTAGGATGGTGTTTAACATCAGTCAAATGAAGGAACTAGGGGGGATTCAAACCTAATAGAGCTCTCAACTTGTAATTAGCTAGTTTAGTTAGAGTAGTTTTCCTAATCACTATTCTAGGTTGGCGAGATAACGAAATCTAAACCCGAAGTAAGGTAAGCCTAGATCCTTGTGGTACGATAAATTTTATTACGATAATAATGTAAAGTAATCACTTTTCTAGGTTGCCTCTCACGTGAGAACCTCCATTTTAAAAAGATTTTTCAAAGGTGAGCATTTTTTGCAAACGTTTTTTATGATACTGTATTTGGACATGTTTTTCTTGTCATTTCTTGATCATTTAAGCTTAATATTTTCGCTCTCGTGGCCTATTGTCGCTAGGTTGTGTTGGTTCATGTTGTTTCAGGTCCTAGTACGTGAATGGGTGCGAAGAAGCGAGTTTTTGGACCCTAACTTTCCGATCAAGCCCGTAACTTTGAGGGTCAATGAGGCTAGGGACCCAAACAAACTTTGAAAGTTATGGCCTCCCTCCAGAAGTTATGGTCTGGCCCGTAACTTTCCTCAGAAGACCGTAACTCTTGGCTGTAACTCGCGAATCCCCGACAAATAAAAGGCTAGCTCGGGCAAATTGGAGAGGATCCAGTTTTTCAAGTTGAGAAACAGCTAGATAGAGCCCTAGAGAGAGAAAGTGACTAAGAACAACCTTAGGAATGAATATGAGCGATCTAATGACATTGGAGTTCGATCTTTCACCCTCGGAGTTCCAATTTCTAGCTTGTAGCAGATTTTCATTTTGCACATGATGATTTCTCTTCAAAACTTGTCGTTTTCTCTTCTCTCCATTGAGTAAACTCTCTTTTCATCTGTGTATGAAGAACCCTAGTTTTGTATGTTAGGAATGGTTGTATGAATCACTTTTGTGAATGATTGATTCGATATATTCAATTGAGGCATTAATCAGAATTGCACGAATCCTGATCAAACTTCTGTGATTCCTGCTTTAACCTAGAACAATAGTCTCTGCATGGGTTAACAGAGCAACTTTAATTGGAAGTAGTGGATCGATTTCTTTAGTTCAGAAATCAATTCACTGCTTTGTACCGGAATTGAAACTAGTAGTGGAAGTTTGGTGTGTTATTCCCTCGGTTAGTCTATGGCGGTGGAGGTCAGTTGCCCGCCGGGTATTCGCACTGAGAGGGTCTTGATTACTTTAGTCGAGATTCCAGACTTGTCAAGAACTTTCCACAGTGTATTATCGATTGAAACAAAATGGGAAATTATAATCTGAACTAGCTGCAGACTAGGGGTACTCATATCTGGATGACCTTTTGCATACTTGAAACCAGAACATTTCCTGCTTTCTGTTACTTTACTTTTGAACACCTCACTACATTTCAACCGCTAAATAATAGAGATTCACGGAGTAGACAGTACATCTAGGACCCGGGTTGACAATTAGAACCTGAACCCACTATATTGTATTTCCATTCTACGATTATACTTGGTCGTAGTTTGGTGTTGTGTTTTAGCGAGTCACCAAAGAGGAAGATAAGAGTAAAATCCCTAGACTTGGCAATCGGGTCGCGTTGGGTAATTTCAGGTTGGGGCCTCAAGTTACAGGTCGGGTCATGTTGGGTTGGCTGATTTTGGGTCAAATATTGACCCAACCCATTCAATTTTGGGTCGGGTTACAGATCGTTTAAGGTTATGAGCGCTCTAAGAAACAATATAAAACATGCTTCATATTTTCTTAAAGAACACAAATTTTCACATATGCATGACAATAGTTTACCTAACACATGTCAATTAGCATATTCTCAAATCCTCCCATGCTAATGAAATGAAATACAAATCGCGCAAATTGTTAAAAAAACAATCATAAGAGTAATACTACTACAAGAAGCACATGATATTTGATTATCCTTAAACTCCAAACATGTCATTCAAATCCTTGTGAATTAGTTTAAACATCTCACTAATTTATGAGTGGTTTTATCATTTTGGGAGTGATATATAAAGAGAAATGGATCTAGCGGGTCGACCCGCTAACCCACCCAACCCGACCCAAATATCCTGGGTTATCGAGTTCGGGTCATTTGGGTTATAAAAACTTTTACTTTTCGGGGGGTTCGGTTCGTGTCAAGGAGTCGGGTTGTAATTTGGTAGGTCTAAAAATCCCTCAGACACCAACAACTCTTGTAAATACAAACTACTCCCTATAAAGCACGTCATATCGACTATCTAGCAATTCAAAGCACATTGAGAAGGTAGATGCTAGGGACAAGTTGTTTGGAACCCTTGACTCGCTAAAACATACACAATTAAACTACGACCAAGTGTACTCGCAGTTCAGGAATGCAATATAGTGGTTCAAGTTTTAATTGTCAACCCGGGTCCTAGGTCTACTGGTTACACCCCGCAAATCTATTATCTGCCGGTTGAAGTGAAGTGAAGTTTATTGTAAGCAAAAGTAAACAGAAAGCAATGAATGTTCTGGTTTCGAGTAGGAGAATGACCCCCTAGTCTACGCCTACGCTCGAAGTGGACAACCACCACCTCCACTTTCTCATGTTCAGGAATACCATACAATCTAAACTAGTTCTCACACAGCCGAATCCATTCTCTGGGGTTCTCACCAGTGAAAAATGGAATTTCCAAGGGCAGAGTAGAAGTGGGATTACCGTCAGTTTGGCCCTGAATTTTGGTTGCAGTAGGGGAATGATTGGAAGCACAATCACAAGCCAGAGTTGCTGCCAAAGGAAGCAACGAGTATTCAATAAAACACTCTGCGTTGGTGGAAGTAGGATGAACTAAAGAGCTATTCTTGCTGGAAGAATCTCGGGCAAAGGAAAGAACCATCGCTGGAAAGTGATTATCCTCCAACTCGGCATTTTGTCGAATAGCTGGTGGAACGTGTTGTGGGTGGGCATAAGCTCCCGTTCGTCGCTGCTCATGAGCCTCGCTCCGGTTGCTGAATGCAGTCAATTGGGCCAATATTGTTTTGTGCTTGCGGCTTAGCTCCTCCATTCGAGAGTGCAAGGCCGCCACTTGATCCGCCCAATTTGTCGGACGACAAACCCCACCAACAAGCCGTTCTTCCATGGAAACCATACCCATCGTGAGTGCTAAGAAGGGCTCTGATACCAAGTTGTTACACTCTGGATCTTCCCGGCGAGTTTACAGAGAAAGGAATTGGAGTTGAGCTTGTTATTGGATAACAGAAATAGGCTTAAAGGAGAAGAGAAGGGGAGATTGGGGAAGAAAATGAAGGAAAGAGAATAGAGAGGAGAAGGAAATCTCAATCTCTTATTCGTTAACCATTCATTACAACAATCTTTTCTGTTTTATAGGATAGGAAAATTACAAAATGATACCTAAAGTAAACTATTCTAACAAGCAAATCCCAATTGTTACACTTCACTAAGTACATGCACCTCTTTCTCTCCCCAACGATTAATCTCCTAACAACAAATTAAAACCGCAGGGGAGAAGGAATTAATTAACGGATAGACTACAACTCTAACTGTGTAGAGTGTTCAACTTTCTGTGAACTCATACTAGTTGAATCGGGTGGTCGATGACAATGGGGTCATAGTGGCGGAGTGGTTCTTGCGAGTTGTGGCAGACGCAGCCTGATGTTGTAATCGATGTATTAAATCAGTTCGGTACACATGATAACAAACCAAACGTTTTAAAATTGTTAAAAATTGAAAAATGAAAAATTAGGGTTACCGATCTGGAGTTGAGTCGAGGACTAGATTGCTCTCTTTAAGACGTTCACGGCACTGCCCTCGTTGTGCACGACAAACTATCAACATGTCACCTCCAGGATGAAACTGTTCATCTATGGTGCTCGACGGTTTTGTGTGAAAATAGGAGCTCTCTGAATACACTCTCTCTCGTGTTTCTGCTCTGTAAATTCTATTTAGGGAGTCTGGGGAGTGCTCTATTTATAGGAGTAAAAACTCTAGAATATTGCCTCTTTCGTAGGGAATAAGTCACGTTTAATTAGGAAGACAATTACTTCTATAATTAAAATGCATTCTGCTGAGATAATTAACTCGGATTATCTCCAGAATATTCTTTTTTATTAATTATCTTTCTTATTTTCGTATAAATTGCAAGTTTGGTTACTTGAATTACTAGTAAAGTACACGTTAGCCACTAGAATTACTTTATTTCATCCTTAGTCACTTAGATTAGGTTAGCAGTTAAAGTTTGGTCACTAGCCATTAGTTGCCCTTAACTTTTGATGATGTGGCGGTCAAATCTTATAATTATCCGTTAAATAAATGACGTGGTAATTAAAAAAATAATTAAAAAATTTAATTTTTAATAATTTCTACCTTATTATTACAATAAATTAAAAAAATAATTAAAACAAAAAATGTCATAATCAACGCCATCCCATGGCTTCTCTTCCACTCACCCCATCATCAACCACCATCCCCGCCAACCTCCGCCGTCAACACTCTCCCTTTTCCCTTCTCTCTTCAAATTTGAAACCCACCGCCGTTGGCCGATTCAGAAGAACAAGACCCAACCTATCTTCTCAACCAAATGTCGGAGGAGCCGACGGTGTACGAGGCGGAGTGGGCGATCGATCATGACCCTGGCTGCGTATGTAGGCGACTACGTGATGGATTTCTTGATGATTTCGGGGTCGGAAAGGATGCGCCGCCACGATTTGTTGACTCAGCGGTTCGACAGGCGGCGGAGGGTGTCGGCAGCTTGGACAGGATTTGGGTCGTCAGTTCCTCCGGCAACCCGTCATATCTCATGTTTCCTTATCCATATCATCAATCACCACAATCAGCATTTTGTTTCTCTTTGATGGAAAGTGAAGAGTAATGGGAATATAATGAGAAAAGAACAATTGCAGGTTTACTATACTGAGTGTACATGTAAAAAGCAAGGACCTAATGAAAAAAATTGCAGAAGTGCCATACTACAAATTACACAAACATTGTTTTGCTTTCATTAGCAGGCACAAAAAGTCAAAAACTAGACCAAGTCAGGGCATGTAATTTAAACACTTTTTAACCCGATTTCCTTGTCAACTAGAGGTGGCAATCAGGATCTAAATCCATGAATACAATCCAATCCATCCATTTAATCCAATCCATTTGATCTAAATCCAATTGGATTGGTCCAAATGACAAATTACGATTTAGTACCTACAAATTTTATATTTTATATGATAGAACTCAAAATTTATATTTTTATAAAAAAGTATCATTGGAAAATTACATGTACTTCTACTGCCTCACAAGCTGCATTTCCTGAAGAAGAAATCCCTTCTGCTCTTGATGTCATTACACAAGAGTTCAAAATCAACAAAGAATTTCTTCGCCATGATTTCTATTCCCAACGAAACCGTTTTAAACGCGAGCAATTTTTTACTGATTACTCTAAAGAAGAACGTGTACTTATACAAAACTCTTTCTATGATTATCTCAATAATATACGAGAACACCATTCTTTCTTTAATTGGTTCGAACAAGTCTTTTCTCAATCTTCGATAAATGTTCAAACCAAGCCTATAACTTGGTCAACTACTAATAACTCTAAGATCCAATCTATTCACCCCCCTAATGCTCCTGTTAATTTTTCTTATTATGGAACAGCAGTTCAAGCTTCTCCTTTTAAATTAGGACGAGAAAATAGTGACCATGTAAAAGGAGAAGATATTCGACGTCTGATTGAACAAAAAACTGGAAACTGAATCAGTCACCTTTTCCCACAAATTTGATCCTTCAGACAAAACACTCAATACCCACTCAACCTGCAAAATCCACCAAATTATCCACCCTCGCCAATGGCCTACTAGCCCAAACACCAACCAAAAATTCCCTGCTACTATTGCTCTTAACCACCCGCAAATCTGCCAATCCTTCAATTACTGGGATTACCATGAAGCTTGGATTAATGCCTTCTTCAAGCAAAACCATATGTACCGACACTCCTGGAGTTTTTCTGGGATTACAAAACTCCCATTATTTTCCCCAACTGGTTTATGCACTTGTGGGATCTTTTTGGGCCAACTGAAAATATCTATCCAACTGAGATACAAGAGGGATATCAAACCTTCTGTCAAAAATATTCTGGTCCAGGATTCCCCCTCCTCAAATTTTGTTACTACATCAAAGTTCCTTGGATTACTGCTTGGGAATTCAGTTACCAAACATGTGCTGTCACAAAGGTACCCATGTTAGGCCGCAGCTTCAAAACCAAATATTGGGCTGCAAATCCTCGCCCAGAACAGGCCTACAAACCTCAAGTCCTCCAATGGTTCAATAACAATCCTGAATTGTCCAAAGTTATCGAAAAATCCTCAACGCAATTTTTGCAAACAAAATCCTCAATCAGCGCTCTCTTAGCTGGCGCCAAGACTGAAGAAGAATACTTCCAAATTCTCAAAGATGTGGCGTCTAGCTCAACATCTGACGCAGATTCCACGTTCCAAAACCATGACCCGGATGAAGAAGTGCTTGGTCCTTTGCCAACAAAGAGCACTAAGTTGAAAACAAAGAAGAAGTGACCCCATTGCTTCTTCCACTACCACAAAGACAAAGAAGAAGTGACTCCACTTCCAACCCACTATCCTAAAGACAAAGAAGAAGTGACTCCACTTCCAATCCATTCAATTTGGTTATGGATAGAAGAACTTAAATTACCTATTTTTCTTTTTATTAAAAATGTAATTTTGTTATGACATGTGACATAATCATATAAGTGTCCACATTGTCATCATTATGTTTTTCAATTTATTTACCAAAAGGGGACTCCATTTCTCTATAAAAGGAGACTCCCTTCACTTGTTGTAAGGAGAGTTGTTTTGAGTGGGAATTGCTCTCTTGCAAAACTTCCTCCCATCATCTTCTCTCAAGATTTCCTGTGTAAGAAGTCTATCAAATTATCAAGTTTTACTTCATCTTTTTCAAATCATCTTCAACTTTTATTTATTTCGTGCATAACTGGTCATCTCCAGTATTTATTTTATGCAAAACCGGTCATCTCCAGTATTTATCTTCTGCTAATCTGGTCATCTCCAGTATTTACTTTTTGCTTTTATTTTATGCAAAACTGGTCATCTCCAGTATTTACATTTTGCTAATCTGGTCATTTCCAGTATCATTTACTTTACAAACTATTTTCAAGTTAATCTCTTATTGGCTGTCTCATTTTCGTCCTTACTGGTATCAGAGCACCAAATATCATTTGTTCCAATCCATGAATCCACCAATCCATTGGATCCAATCCATAAATTCAATCCACCAATCCATAAATCCAATCCATTTGTCATCTCTATTGTCAACCAATCTGACTCTTAAATTAAAAATGGGATACCTAAGGCTAACAACATCCTCTGCTCTCCCCACAGAGGGATCTAAATATAACTTGAAAGCAACAAAACAAGCTTGAAGGTCCAGCCGTTGCATAAAAGTACTATTGCTTTTGCTCTCCTGACTCCAAACAAATACAATTAGTAGACTAGATATTAGTGAAGCAAAGTCACGAAATCTGCAAAAATTGCAACAGACAACACAAAGGGACAAGACAACGGTGTAAAAGCTCAATTCCATCACACCTACCCTGCAAGCTCGCCAACAAAACCTAATGGGGTCGTTTGGATAAGGGTTTTCTAAAACCCAGGTTTTTGCCCACAATCCCACAGTTTAAAACCTAGGTTTTTAATATGAGGAATTTTAATATATCACTTGTTTGGATATAAACAAAGGATTTTAATAAGAAAAATCAAATTACAATCTTAACCTCATCTTTAACCTATCTCCTTCCCCCTTGCTCTCATCTATTAACCCAGAACATCTCGTCGTCGTTGCCTCCAAATCTAACATTCATTCTGACGTGCCCCGTTTATCCAAACTCCTAAGACCATACCCATCTCGGCATCTCCTTCTACGTTGTATGTTTCTGTCTACCCTTTAGCTATTCACAAACGACGGCGGCGGCTTGATTCAAGGATTCCTCTTCACGTCGAGTGGAGAGGGAGAAGAAAACAATGGTGGCAGTTTGCTTCATGAAGACCAGAAGCGTCGTCAGTTGCCTAGCCCATAAACATCTCAATTGATGGCCTTCATGTGGATATCGCCGACAATCGGGAGGAAAGGAAGAGGAAGATGATGTTGTATACTTCAAGAAGCCCAGAAGTGTCATCCATCGCCAAAGAAACGTCTCAATCGACGACCTTTGACCAGGAATCGTCGTCAATCGGAGGAGAGGGAGAAGAAGACGGCGACTTGCTTCTGGTGGAGAACTAGCCCAATACGTCGACGAGAAGGAGTGAATTTGATCACAGAGATCCAATCTTCCTCTCGATGAATGTCCCGCTCGAATCTTCATCTTCGGTGACTTTCTCTCCTTCCTCCTCTCGTCCTCTCCCTTCTTCGTCTCCGGGAAAACCTGGAAGCTTCTCCGGATAAGCCACATCAGCAGTTGTGTTCAAGACTGGTGGCACATTAGGAGGACAGTGCAGTGATTGGAGAAGAAGGCTAACGGAGAAATGAAGTAATGGGGGAGGGTAGTTTTTGGAAAAATAAAACAAGAACGAGGAATTTAGAAATAGCTGATCCCCACAGCTACTTCAGAAACCCACATTTGAGAGTTTTTAAAATTCCTAATTGTAAAAACTCTCATCTTTCCCAAATAAGTGATTGTTTTAAAATCGTGCAGAATAAGGGATTGCTTTAAAATCCCTTACAAATCTCTCGTTACCATCCCTTATCCAAACGACCCCATAAAACATCAAAAAACCTATATACAATCACAAAATCCACCTACTAACCACTTCAAATCCAACTCATTCAATGTAAAATAAGAACCAGTTCAAAATCAACACCGCTATGCCGTTTTCATGAACTGGTCATTCTGTGCCAAACGAAATAGAGAAGTAAATAACTAACAGGGATTCTAATTTGCAGGGGAGACTTGACAAGGGAGGGAATTTCCTAAATTTTCTAGCATAAAGGCTAGCTTTAGTAGAGACAAGACACCATTGGAGCTCTCTTTTCTTGAAATCGACGAGCACCCGAACCGTTCAAGCTTGACTCCACTCGCTTTTGCTATGAAATTAGGGAAATGAGGGCACGAGTTGCAGAACGGAAGAACAATAAATCAAGACTGAAGAGAAGGAGAGAAAAACCTGAGGCTAGAGCTAGTAGAACCTGTTAGAGAGTGGAATAAGACCCAACATAACCTTCTCCAAACAACTCGAGTTATTGGAACCAACTGGTTTATGACATGATATCAGAGCAAGGTTAGTTGCAAAAGGTTACAAGCAAGAATATGGTGTCGATTATCATGAAGTTTTCTCTCCAGTAGCAGGACATGACACAATCAGATTGGTGGTGGAACTAGCAGCTCAGAATTCCTGGCCAATTCATCAAATGGATGTCAAGTCAGCCTTTTTGAATGTCTACCTAGAAGAAGAGGTATTTATTGAGAAACCCCCTGGTTTTGTCAAACATGGTAGTGAACATAGTTTATAAGTTGAAATTGACACTTTATGGATTAAAGCAAGCACCAAGAGCATGGTACAGTAGGATTGAGTCCTATTTTCTCAAGTCTGGGTTCTCTAAGCGTCCTTATGAACATACTTTGTTTGTTAAAGTAGAAGAGTACAAAATGTTGGTTGCTTGTTTGTACGTGGATGATCTGATCTTCACTGGAAATTGTACTGCCATGTTTGATGAGTTTAAGAAGTCTATGAATTCCGAGTTTGAGATGACAGACTTGGGTTTGATGCATTACTTTCTGGGCATAGAAGTAGCACAAACAGAAGCTGGAATTTTCCTCTGTCAGAAGAAGTATGTGGGTGAAGTCTTGGAGATGTTTCAGATGCATCAAAACAATCCAGCAGCTACACCTGCAGTAGTTGGGTTGAAGCTACACAAGGATCAAGGAGGGAAGCTTGTTGACAGCACTATGTACAAGCAAATTGTGGGAAGTTTGATGTATTTGACTGCCACAAGACCTGACATTATGTATGCTATGAGTTTGATTAGCAGGTACATGGAGAATCCTATAGAGTTGCATTTGCTGGAAGCCAAGAGAATTCTTCGTTATTTGCAAGGAAAAAGAAGTTTGGGAATGTTCTACAAGAAAGAAGGCAAAACACCTCTGTTGGGTTTCACAGATAGTGATTTTGCAGGAGATATGGATGACAGGAAGAGCACTTCTGGCTATGTTTTCATAATGGGATCAGGAGTTGTAGCTTGGTCTTCAAAGAAGCAACCAATAGTTACGTTATCAAGCATTGAAGGTGAACTTGTTGCTGCTACAGCTTGTGCTTGTCAAGCTGTTTGGTTGAGAAGGTTGTTAGAAGAGTTGCAGAACAAGCAAGAAGAGGCTACCACAATTCGGTGTGACAATCAATCCATAATCAAGCTGTCCAAGAACCCAGTTCTACATGGAAGAAGTAAGCACATTGACGTCAAGTATCACTTTTTGAGGGATTTGTGTAAGGAAGGACAACTTGGTTTGGAATACTGCAGAAGTGAAGATCAAGTTGCAGATATGTTCACCAAAGCTTTGAAGATTGGACAGTTTGAGAAACTCAGAGGAATGCTGGGAATGATTGTAAAACCTTAACCATAAACTGTTGTTGGCAAACATCAGTTTAAGGGAGGGATTCTTGGATATTCGTTATGTTAGTCTTTGGAGTCAGTTCATGTTTTTCAGGTAGTTTGTTAGTAGAGTCAGCCCACTAGAGTTTGTTAGCTGTTTGTGGGTTAGTGGAGTTGAATCATGAGCTGTAAATTCTCCTGAGTCCTAGGAGTAACGTTGTAGGGTTTACCTGCCTATAAAAGGCTTGGTCTATGAGTCAATAATGATCAAGAATTCAGCCCCAAAAAAACTTGCGTACAAGTTCTAAATTCTGCAGATTTACTTGTTGTTTGTGGTTCTTTGTTTATAACAGAACCTGTACGTCGTAACCGGCGAGTGAAGGATTAATGTGAGCTTACGAGTCAACTAACGAAGAAGGTTTATGAAGTTCTGTAGTAGTCTGATTCGCTAAGATGAAGAGTTCGCCGCTCGCTAGCTAGGGATTTTCTCGATTCGGGAGAAGGATGTACACATCTCCATGTTTATAACCAGAGAATAATCTGCAGGGAGCTTACTGGCAGAAGGATTTTGTCACGCACTAGCTAGGGCTTTTCTCGATGGTTTGGGAGAAGGAGGGAGCTCGTCGCTGATTTAGTCGCTGGGCTGTGCTTGGGCCGGGATGGCACAGGCACGTTTCGAGCCCATTTATTTCGTTTCGTGCTTGACACGGCCTGTCAGTCCATTTGTTAATTTTGCTAGGCCCAGTCCAGGCTTGGACACTGTCGTGCTTATTCGTGCTCATGTCGTGCTTATATTCATGTTTAATGAAAAGTAAGAAAATAAAAGAGGGAATAAAAAAGAAGGAACAAATTGGGCGGAGAATGAAAGTATTAACCGAGAATGTAACAAATGCAACAAATAAGGGGGAAAAGAAAATTGAAAGTATAGCGGGTGTGATTTGTTTTTGTTTACTAATTCGTCTATTTTTACTTATGGTAGTAATTAGGTATATATATTTATGATCACTTCTAATAATAGTAAATAATTTTTATTGTACTTGTATTTTTTAAGATTTGGATCTATAATCCTTTTTATATTTATTTTCTATCAAATAAATATTATTTACATGCCATGTTCGTTCTTATACTCAACAAGGTCTTGAAAATATTAGGCCCGACACGGCCCATTTACATACTGTGCCATGTTCGTGCTCATGCCCATAAAGTTTATGCCTGGGTTTATAGTGACGGAGTTGCTCCCTTTAAATACAAAAAACGACAACGTTTTCTCATTCTTTGGCGACCAAATCATCATCGCAAATAAAGTAACATTTCTACGAGGATACAAATCCGTCGCCACATCTTAGCCATTGTATTTCGATGGGATATTTCATCGACAAATAATATTTGGCGTCGCAAAAGGGCTACCCATCTCGTAGGAAAATATGAACCAATAGGCAATGGATTGTTCAATTAAAACTTCTATTTGTCGGGATTTACGCTTCTTTTTTTTAATGATGGCGGGTTCTAGGAGAGTGAGAGTTCTCCATGCTTTGTGAATTCTCTCCTTGGAACATGCCCTTATGCTTGCTTGTAGCACAAAAGATACACGAACACCATCAATCCACTCAAGATTACAATTGAACTTTTAAAATCAACCTTAACATCATCCATGCACCCCCGCACTTAAGTGAGACAAATGAATGAAAAGAGGGAAGCATAGATGGATAAAAATGGCTCATTCAACATAAAACAACATTCATTCTCCTAAAATAAGCATAAATTATTCATGCAAGGTTCAATCGTAAGCATACAAGTTCAAATGTAAAGCATAGGTTCAAAGAAAATGAAAGTTATATGATTGGGGAATTTCTTCGAACACTAGGTGGGCGGACTTTAAGAACCATTAAAATCATGCAAAATTGACCCACCAAGGACTCCCGACTCAGATAAGACATCAATAACACATAAACATCAATCCCATTGTCAAAAGAAATCATGCCATAACCTAAGAAAGTACCAAAATTCACCTTGCGCTCGAACACATGTTGACCTAGCTAAGCTACCTAAGTGATAGAAAAATGGAAAATAGTAACTTAGCTTGCTTGGGGACATGATATTAATCCAAGAGATTATGTAATACTTCAATAATGATACTTAACAAATGAAATGAGATGAAGTATGGTAAAAAAATAGGGTTCAAAAGAGCTTTGGGAACATGATTTTTTAGATTTGAAAATCCTTGGGGAAGAGAGCACATGAATAAAGAGTGCACCACCCCTTTAATAGGAGCGAGCAAGATTGCAGCCTGGGGTCAAAAGATCTCGGTCGCGATCTTTGGCTTCACAACCGTGATCTTGCCCTTTACAGGCAAGGATAAAATATCATCTCACCACACCTAAGGATTGCAAACATCTAAATGAAAAATTCATTCAACTAAATGAGACATGGAAAGGGCTAAGGCCCTATCATTCATCATCTAAGCTAATCAATCCATACTTTAACAACTTATTCAAAATAAAAGAGAAAGATACGCAAACCAAAATTGTTGGGTTGACTCTCAACTAGCGCGTCTTTGAAGTCTTTTCTCCGAACTATCACTTGAGAATCTAAGCGAGAGGATTTTCATCCTCCACTCTTGGTGCTTCGTAATAATAAAACTTGTGATGAAGTTCAAGGTGGAGACCATGAAGTCTCTCGGGGGCCTCCTCTGTGGCTAGTGACTCAAAGCATTGCTCGGACGGTTGATGATGATTGTAGAGACCAAGCTTCCTTACTCCGAAATCTTCATCCATGAGTGGCTTTAGCACTCCCCGGATTCTTCTTTTTCATCAATGGAATAAAGCTTTTTTCCATCATTCTTCTTCCTTTCATCCCGCATTTTATACTCAGGATACCTTGTTTCAAATTAAACTTTAGAAGTTCCCTCCGTTCTAACTTGGCTTGATTAGAGATGAGGAGTAACTTTTCCATCTTTTTGTTGTGGGGAGGACTTGTCTCTCCCAACTATTCCATTGTTTCTTAGAGTTATCCGTCTCTTCATTCTTTGGATCCATATGATCTTCGTGAGACACCAAGTTGAACCATTCAATTTTGGGGCTTGAAGGTGATGTTGGAGGAGGCGTGAATGGTCCGCAATCTTTCTCCACATCTTACCAGTTGTAATATTGTGGAAATTGGGAAGTGGAGTCATCTTGTATCGAAAATCCTCCTCACCAAATCTTAGGATGATTCGGCTCTCACTAACATTGATAATAGTTCTTGTTGTAGCTAGGAAAGGTCTACCAAGACTAATTGGTGTGTTGATACATCCTTCCGTGTCTAAGATAACAAAATCCACGGGGTAGACAAAATGAGCACATCTCACCAATACGTTCTTGATTTATCCACAAGGCGTAGCAATAGACCCAGAAACGTGGTATCAACAACTAAAGAGTTCGCTACACCGGTCGATGTGGTGGTTGAAGAAGTCTTCTTTTTTAGTCATTGATATGAGATACCTTCCCAGATCACGTCGGATGAACCAGGAAATATTTCAATGGTCCGAAGTCCTTGATGCTAAATTTGTGATCCAGATAATCCTTGATTTGCTAGCCCACTTTTTTGTTGTAGACTTCAGATAAGAAAAAGGAGGCATTCCTCAGCGTAGGAAGGCTCCTTTAGATAAAGGTGGCAAAGCTCTTTTTTTGGTGTGCCGTGAAGTGCATGGAATATTTTTATTATCTGTCAACAACCACCACAAATTATAAAAAGCCTCCCTCAAGAAGGTACAAAGCTGGTTGTTGCTGAAAAGGAACCATTGTCCTCTGGTTTATTTTAAACTTATTCACTTCTTTCTAATAAAGAATGAGTACATTTAAAATATCAAGTGACTGGCCCGAGGTCAAGCTCTTTGCAAATCCTCATAGGCATAATGTTAATAGTCGAACCCAAGTCGTCTAAAGGGTTTCAAAAGGTCTTGACACCAAAGGTACATGGGATAGTGAACACTCCCTAATCTCTCATCTTTGGTGGCATACCTTCACAACCAATAGTTGTAGAAATGACCTCACTCATAGAAACCATAACAACTTCCTCCATTATTTTATTTCCCGATAAGATTTATTTCAAGAAAGGAACAGTTACCTTAAGTTTCTTAGGAGTATCCTTCCTTTGAGAACATTCATGTTGTAGATCACTTTCGAACAATCTCTTAGGATAAGTGATAACGTCGTAATTACACATGTTTATTCCCTCAATTCTTTATCATTTGACTTTGGTTTCTTGCATCTAAGGCCAATTTTATGCTAGGTTGTGTTCTTTTGCCATATTTCAGGTCCTAGTACGTAAATATGAGTTAGGGACAAGTTTTGGGAAATTTGAAGGTGAAAAAAGGCCGATCACAAAAATCGAGCAGCAGAGCTGATGAAAAACTTTCCCTCAAACCCGCCCTCTATTGTGAAGAACATGGCCTATAGGCCATGTTTTCCCTCTACACTTTACAAAATTGTTGTTTTGAAATATGACTTATTCTAATTAGAACACGACCGGAATTTCGAGGCTAGAGGTCGTGTTTTTACCCCTGTGCAGGTTTTTATAATAGAGGAGCTCATGTTCTGAAGGAGATCCGACTTTGGACGCAAATACAGAGTTCCGGAGAGAGAAAGTGATGAAGAGCAAGACCTAGGAGCCAATTTGAGTTGGGTTTTCACCATTGAAGCTTGCATTTCGCCCCTTGGAATGAATATTGACATTCCAAAGAAGATTATACACATGGTCTTGAGGAACGCCCCACGAAGGCCTACATTGCCAATTCCAACTTGAATTTCTCCTCGGTTTGTGGAGGGAAGTTTTCTTGGTATGGGGAAGCTTCTTCCAATCCCCAACACTATGGTTGTTCTTCTTGGAAGGGAGGTGTATCATAGAAACCGGTTCCTTGGCTTCCACCCCTCTTGATTGTTCCATGAACATCCGGGTTACCCCCATTCGAGTGATTGTGGATACCCCCACATGTTGTAGAAGCCATTGGGATCCATGATTCAACCTACAAACAAAAAAAAAAAAGAGGAAATCAATCAAACACAAACCACCCTTAAGGCAAAGAGTGGGTATACAAAACACAGAAATAAAAACGGTTAAACTAGCAAATCCAAGCCTTTTCCTGACAACCTAGAATGTTGTCCCCAATTGTATGGTTCTTCTTCTTGGAATGTAGGTTGATCATATAAACCGGTTCCATGGCTTCCACCCCTCTTGATTGTTCCATAAACCTTTGGGTTACCCCCATTCGAGTGGTGTGGATACCCCCACATGTTGTAGAAGCCATTGGGATCCATTATTCAACCTACAAACACAAAAACACAAAAAGGAAATCAATCAAACAAAAACCACCCTTCATGGCATAGAGTGGGCTAATAAAACACAAAAACAAAAAAAAAAAAAACGGCTAAAGTAACACATCCAAGCCTTTTCCCGACAACCTAGAATGTTGTCCCCAGAAACGGCGCCAGAAAAACTTTATTCACTACCACTACACACAATCCCAACTATAGGCCAAGTGCAACCTATAGAAGGGTGTAGGATAGTATAAGTATTTCAATATCAACCCGGGTGGTCTATCTACCCTTCAATTGTTCGCACGTTATCTAGTGATCGATTTGTGGTTAAAGCTAAGGAAACTAAGCTAATTAAACAAGCAAGCAATTAAACTTTGGTGAATTCGATTGAGAAAGAATCACTCAAGCATAATGTGGTCAAGATACAACGAATGAAACTCTAGTGTGATAAGTAGGATCATATACTGTGAGGAGGTTACAATTAGTAAGGAAACCCTAACTCTCTTAATCGATTGATTAAAGATTGCAAAACCACTGCCTCAGAAGTTAATCCAAAACGAAGAAAAAGTAACCAATTAAGAAGAAATCATGGCACTACTTTGATGATCAAGGATGACCCTAATTGGCCTAGAGAAGGTTACCCAAATTTCCAAGATTGGACTTTATAGGGATTTTCTCCTTCTATATCTATTTGTCCCTAATTTGAGAGATATGATCAACAAATTTCATGGCACACAAATTTCATGAATAATAACTCAATCATTATATAAATGATAAACCCAACACACATAGAGTTCAATTCCTGCAATCTAACACTTCCTAGACTACTCCATAGCTAGAGGAGAAAATACAAATAATATAGAAGAAACTCCATTACAAGCTGATCTTCCTTCTTCTTAGATGTTTGATTCAATCTTTGGAGAAGAAATAAACTTTCCTCAAGCCTTGGGTAGGTAAAATTCTCCTTCCTTCTTTCTTAGCTCATAGCTCTCGCTCCCTCTCTCACGCTCTCTCTAAACCTTGAAGAAGAAGCTTCAATCTCTCTCCAAGACTCCCCCTCTCTTTCTTTAGCTCACTCTCCTGTTATAGCTCCTGACTGTCAAAATCACGGTCCAACTTCACACCATATGAAGCATGCAGTAAACCGTGATCTCAACATAAAATGTGTCTTTTCACTACCAAACTTCACGGTCCTCTTATTTACTTCATGGTCGGGAGACCGTGACATTTGTAGTGCCCGCGAGCTGTATAAACCCTCCTGGATCCATGCCATCTTCACAGTCTGAGTGTTGACATCATGGTCTGCAACTTCGGATAATCTTCGCCTGGCCGTGATATTCGATTTTTTTACCATTTTGCTCCCCTTTTTGCCCTTTTTCATCTGACTTTTCGATTCTGGTGCCAAGATTACCTGCTCGGGTATGAAACATGGCGAAACACGAACAAGCCCCATATAAACTAGCTCTATGGACGGTGCAAAATTAGGTGATAGAAGAAGCCACGCTCTTAAGTGTGGGGTTAATCCCCTATATATCGATTTCATTTGGTTATTTTTCTATAATTCATAAAGAAGAACCCTTTCCCAGGATTCTTAGCATATCACAAGGAGAAGAAGGATGATGTTGCATCATCTTATACATGATCCATGAGATTAAGTCCACCACAACAGAACCGGAGGTAGATGATCCCTTTAGGAGTTCATGCGAGATCAGCTTGGATCAATAGAAGGAGCCCATTCTATGAGTAGTTTGATTCAAGGAACTACACTTCTCAATATCAATTTGCTCGGATTCCCTCCAACACTAGTAGTGTACGACTATCCTTGGATAGGAGGAGATTGAGGAGTCGCAGTGGATAGATGCACCGGGGACTAGAGGTGCAAGAAATTAACGATGAGCTTAAAATTCTCAAGCCAGCACAAGTGCCCCTATTTCCTCTTCTCAATTTCCCATTAGAAACATAACGAGGAGAAGAGTGGATAAGTGGAGAAATGTTCATGTGGAGTTCGAAGGAGAGATAGATTGGGATAGCTTTTGCTAATACTAGGGATGGGGTGTAGAGCTGAGGCAAAGACTTGATCATGCCGGTCTTCTGGAACTCTTCAACATCGATGGAGAGACCATTGATGTTCTGACTAGAGAGTTCCTTGCAACACTCTAGGTATCACCAACAATAAGCTCCAGTCAGACATGCATCACCCATAAGTTGGTAGGCAGGCACCGCACCAAAAGTTATAATAGCTTCGCAAATAAGCTAGAGATTCCCCCATACCACACGAGAGGTGCTCTCTCTGATGCTATCCTGGGAGGTTAATGGTACTCATCACCACATAAAGGAAACTTCACATTTTTGTGGAAGAGCATTACGAAGAACTCCGAGGCAGCGTTTTTTTTCTAGTTATGCTAGACCTACCACCATCTGCCTACCATTTTTTGAGGTTCATGCATTATTTTGGCCAAATAGAGAGACACCAGCAGTGGAGTCATGATTGGATGCATGAGTGTGGTCATAATTTTGACATTTTCCTCTCAAGGCAAGGAAGTGGCCATCAGTAGGGATATCTATCCATATGTGCACTATGTTTATTTTTTATTTTTACTTTCTTTTGTTTGAATTACGGATACTAATTTGGATAATAAGCTCTAGCTTTTATCCATTATCTATTTTTTTATATGTTTTGAAGTCTTATTTTGAGTCTTTCTATGCGATTGAGGGGGTTGCATTAGATATTATCCATTAATCTCTCAAAATTAGTACGACACTCGCAATTATTTAGTCCACTGTAGATGATGTCCATTTTAAAGTGTGGGGTGGAATTTTGTGTTATGTGCTACTTCATTATGCTTTAAAATGCTATATGTTTTTGTGCAATTTCAAAAAATTATCCAATTATAGTAGTTATGTTATCTATGTGAATTTTTTTCCAAAAATTATTAAATATGTTGACTCTGTTTTACTAACACTCTAATCAGTGGCCATGTGCAACCACAGATCAGAAAGTAGTATAGTGGAATTAAGTCTTAAATGTCAACACATGGCCTTAGATGTACTATTACTCAACAAACTATATGTTATAGTAACAGGTTGTAGTGTCGATTTGAATTTGGATGCGAAAAGATCACACATGTATGTTTCCTCTAGTCCTTAGTTAAGTCAGTGGTGTTTACTCCCCATTTGTTTCACTTGATACTCTTACTGCAGAAAGTCTGGAATAAGTCTAGAATCACAATTAGAGAAGACTGAACCCTCTTGAATTGATTAACCGGGGAGATGATCCTCAACCATAATAGAAAATCAAGGCAATACAGAAAAGACTCCCTCTACCGGATTGAAATCCAATACATAGCACTGAATCGATTCACTAATTGTGCAATCGATTCACTACCACCAGTTGAAGGCACTCTATCAACCTAATTAGATATGCCCTCTCCTATGTCAAAGTAGGAATTGAAGAATGTGATCAAGATTCAACGACCTTTTCCTCTTTTACTTAACATAGCTTTACGTCTCCTAGATAACTAGAAGTTCTAGAGAAGTATCCAGATTCAAACAATTACATGAACAAAAATTCAATAGGATAAATAGTATCAAGTTTTACAAAACAAAGAGCAATCCAAACAAATCCTAACACATGGAACTAGGGTTATCATACCCAAGTGGGAGGGTGGATTACTCTAGAGAGAGAGAGAGAGAGAGAGAGAGAGAGAGAGAGAGGAAAACAACGATTAAAGCAGTCATGCTCATGAAGATGATAAGAATATGCTCCGAGATGTTAATCTTCACTGTGAGAGGGACAAAATTCGAGCTCCAATGGTGGATTGAGGGTAAAAAATGGTCAGTCCTTTTTATGAAACTGGTCATGTTTTGTGGATTCCGCAATTGGGCAGAACACCGGCACGAAGACAACCATGTTCTAGCATGTGTCCCTGATTCTTAGGAAAGCACCGTTTCATTAAAGGGACTTAAGGGTAAAACATGGTTAGTCCTCTATATGAAATCGGCCATGTTTTCCCTTTTCCTAGACGTGTTTCCTCTCGAAAGTAATTACACGACCTGTCTTTTGTATGAAACACAATCCTGTTTTGTGGATTCGCTGGCCGTGTTTCATCTCATAACCAATTTCACGGCATGTCTGCTTTATGGAACGCGACCGTGTTTTACTTCTGCCCTGACTGTGTTCTTCTCGACAACACTTGCATGGCACGTGGTTAGGTTAGATGGCTAGTCGGGTTTTCTGGACAAAACATGCACATGGAAAATGCCCATGTTCCCTCTAAGCTTGCCCATGTTAATCTTCTGCCTCGCTTCTGGGTTACCAAATGACCTTTGATTAACCCAAAACTTGTACATATGCCTCTCTTCGCTTGCTAGGATCTTAAATATGACAAATGAACACAACCTAGAGTAAAATTGGCCAAGGAACATAGTAATCAAAGACAATTAGATTAAAAAACGAGGGTGTAAACATGTAAAAATAACAGTATCAAACTTCCCCATACTTAACCGTTTGCTTGACCCCAAGCAAACCTGTCTCAAACTAGTGCAACTCACTAGACTCCCAAAATACTATACAACTTTCGTTCGTTGGTTGTGGGTCACTAGTCAGTTGACCGAGAAGATGGAGCCCAGACCATGAAGATAGACAACTTCAAGAAGACTTTGCACGTCTCGCGAGCAAGTCAGATGTCCGTGACAATTTTCATCTAGCCGTGAAGTCTATTAATGAAATAGCGCATTTTGGGACAAGATTACGGGCAAGCTTCCAACATCACGAGCATGACAATTGACCTTGATAAGTGCCCAACTAGAGTATATAAAGACAAGAGAGCTGAAACCTAAAGGAGGATTTCAAGAGTGAGATAGTGTTCTTCTTCTTCATTTAGAGAGAGAAAGTGACAAACAAACGGAGAAAGAAAAAGGTTTTGACTTTTCCAATGCTTGAAGAATGAAGATTTCTCCTCCAATGAGGCAATCCAAGCACTTGGGAGGGAAGAGAAGCATCTTACCATGGTTGTTTGCTCCATCTTTGTTGTATTCCTCTTCTTAGTCATGGAGTCGTTCCTCAATTGATAAGCTCCAACCCTCGAAGCTTGATGATCAGAGCACCCAAAATACAAACCTCCAAGCTTGTTGTATGAAAACGGCAGAGAAGGAAAAGTACAGGGTAAACAATAGAGTTGGAAGGTGCAACTTCAACACCAATTTTGAGGAAGAGGCTCTATCCAAATAGGATAGCAACTAGTCCATGATTGATGTGGTAAATCAATCGATGTTGAGATCACTCATTGGTGGAATTCAAACCACTCAACGAGGTCAATTCAAGAGCAGGAAACTCTATGAACAAGGTTATTCAATAACTATCAAAAACTTCCTTTTACAAAGCAATGGCCGAGTGTTAAAATAGTTAGCTAGGTTTACAATCGACCAAGAAAATTTTAATTACATTCGAACTCGAAAAACTAAACTTAAACATAAAAAGGAATACTAATCCGAATCAAATAAGGAAAGAAACTCTGCCTTCAACTCCAAGTCACCAAGCAGCCCTTGACGCAATCTTTGAGGCTCTCGATCGATGATTTCCAGGTACGAAACAAATCATCCACTGCCTCTTCTCTATAGATTAACATGCATAATTTCATGTAGTATGAAGCTCCTGTCTTGATTCGAAATCAACTTCCTGGAATAGAGCTTTCAAGTAACCTTCCTCAACACAGTTTTATACTTTGGCAGATTCTGACAATTTTCCTATGTTAAGGAAGCATTTTGCCGATCCTTGAAAATGGTCTTCTGAGTTTCTCCTCGAGCTTCGAGACACCCCAACTTGTAGAGGAGAACACTAAATTCAAAACAAGACCCTAAACTCACATTCCCATCAACCCAATTGGAAGAACCAAGCCCCAAAGTAGACCAACTGAACATATCAATATACTTAGCCAAAAATCCATATTGTCAAATGAGTTGGGGAAGATTATTGGACAAGTAATTCTAGCTTGGAAATAAAGCAATCCAGGGTCGTATCAGGCTCCCCCTCTTCAAAAAGCTTTGTCCTCAAAGTTGGCTCCTTCGTCTTCTCAAAATTGTCACAGGAACTGATCCCAAATTGGATCGAAAGATGGCTGCTCAAACTCCAATTTCTACAAAATTAAGGTAGTGTTCTTCATCAACGAAATTGGCGCTTTTGGATTTAGAGAGTTCCAGGCTAATTCATTCCTCCTACAAGGTTCTCCATACCCCCAATCGACTTTCTGAAGTAGCCCTTCATCTCGAATCATCATAATTCGTGTCGAACCATCTCCTTGTTGTTTCCAGCCATTGTTCACTTTCAAACTTTCGACAACCAGGATACCCATTCAATTTTGGGTGTTTTTAATTTATTAATCATCGAATCGAATTGAGTGTACCTACACCTTCCCAATAACTCCTTTGATGGTTCTGCAGAACGAATGCGACTTGAATCGAGTTGGAGGACCCCGCACAAGAAGGGGTCTTGGTTGCCCTTCTTCGTCACAAACAGAGGTGCTTTCGGCGAATTCAAAGTTGCAATTGCAAGCAAGTCCTCTTTCGTTAGAGCTACTGGTGATGTTCCCAGGGTCGGGAAGAATGGACCATCGTCGACGGCGAGTCTCGACTCATTCCCCAGTGGAACGACCAGTTCATTCTCTCTTTTCCATGTCCTGCCGTCGAAGGACAGAGCAACCATCTCGTTAGCTAGGGCTGGAAGTTTGGTATCGGTATTTGAGATATACCGAATACCGTACCGAATTTGTCTATATTTGGTATTACCGAATACACGTATTATTTTGTGGGATTGGGATTGACTGTCAATTGTTATTCGATATTAGGGATGATGGGATTGGGATCGGTATATACCGAAATACCGATCAATACCGAAATATAAGCTAGTGTGTCTTTTATCATCTCAACTAGACTCTCTCATTCACTACTACGCAACCCTCAACCACCAAAAGTGTCATTTAATTATACATAGATCTTACATCACTATTTCACACGAGTATTAGTCGTCTCTCAACCTCAAATTCGTCAAATTAAATATTACCAATTACAAGAACTTGAGATGTTAGCTCTAGGCAACTCAATACTATTTGCTTAGTCTCTTTGCCCTAAATTAAACAATAAAATCTAATTTATATATTTAATTATTAATTTCAAAGGTAATTAATTATGTATTCGATAATACCGATTGGGATACCAAAATTATTTAGGGATTGGGATACCGAAATTATTTAGGGATTGGGATTGAGATTCATTTTAGGGTGTAATTCGGTATTCGGGATTTCGGTATTTGGTATTGGGATACCGATACTGTAGCGATTTCCACCCCTACTAGCGACAGATGAAGCTCTCCTCGCCTTAGAGTTGTAAGCATAAACCTTCAAACCAACAAATGGGTTTCATTGCTCGTTCCAGTCTTCAAACGATCAGAGTCATCCTTGTCCTTGCTCCGCTTCACCGTCATCTGCTGCTGATCGGCTCGGACCTCTGCCGGAGATAGCGGTTTAAGTAGGAATTTGCGATCCCCGTACCTAAATCGTTAACAGTTTTCTCGTCCCTCGTGAATGACCCTTCGATCATACTACCATAGTCGTCCGAGCACAATATGGGCTGCCTGCATCGGAGCTACATCACACCATAACTCATCCTCGTAGTCACCGATTTTGAAACGAAATTTAGCCTACTTATTCACTTTGAGGGTGTCATATTCGTTCACCCAATGTAGATTGTAAGGCTGAGAGTGTTTGATCGTTCCTAACCCGAGCCTTTTAACAACGTCAAGGCTAATAACGTGTGTGCACCTACCTCCATCGATTACAACGGAGAGCAATTTTCCTTCAACTGTGCAACAGGTGTGAAGCAGAATGTCCCGATGTTCTTCTTCAGCTCGAGAGTTCAGGGTAAGAACTCGTCGATTCACCCCGAGAAACTTACCAGGAGGGATTTCTGCCTCAATAGATTCGTCAACGTCAGAATCAGAATCAAGCTTGTCATCTCTGTCTCCTCTTTTTCGTCTTCTGAGACGTATTCACCATCGCGAAGCACTAAGGTCTTTTTATTTGGGCACTATGTCGAACCAAGGCTACTGATACCACTTGATAAGCTCCAACCCTTGAAGCTTGATGATCAGAGCATACAAAATATAAACCTCCAAGCTTGTTATATGAAAACTGCAGAGAAGGAAAAGAATAGGGTAAATGATGGAGTTGGAAGGTGCAACTTCAACACCAATTTTGGGGAAGAGGCTCGATCCAAATAGGGTAGCAAATCCACGATTGATGTGGTAAATCAATCGATGTTGAGCTCGCTCGTTGCTTGAATTCAATCCACTCAACAAGGTCAATTAAAGATAGGAAACTCTATGAATAAGGTTCTTCAATAACTATAAAAAAGCTTCCTTTTACAAAGATATGGCCAAGTGTTTAAATAGCTAGCTAGGTTTACAATCGACCAAGAACTTCCTAACTAAATTAGAACTCGAAAAACTAAGCTTAAACATAAAAGGAATACTAATCCAAATCAAATAAGGAAAGAAACTCTACCTTCAACTCCAAGTCACTAAACAACCCTTGAGGCAATTTTTGAGGCTCTTGACCGATGACTTCCATGTACGAAATAAATCATTCAATGCCTCTTCTCTATAGAATAACATGCATACTTTCATGTAGTATGAAGCTCATGTCTTGATTTGAAATCATCTTCCTACAATAGAGCTTCAAAGTAGCCTTCTAGAACACAGTTTTATACTTAGGCAGATTCTGACAATTTTCCTGTGTTGAGGAAGCATTTTGTTGATCCTTGAAATGGTCTTCTGAGTTTTTCCTCGAGCTTCCAGAAACCCCAACCTGTAGAGGAGAAATCTAGATTCAAAATGAGACCCTAAACTCATATTTCCATCAACCCAAATGGAAGAACCAAGCCCCCAAAGTAGACCACTTGAACACGTCAATATGCTTAGCAAAAAATCCATATTATTCAAATTAGTTGGGAAAGCTTCTTGGACAAGTAATTCTAGCTTGGAAGTGAAGCAATCTAGGGTTGTATCATCAATTCACTTGGGTATTGGAACCCTAGCCTATGATGTGTTAGATAGTAAGAATCGAACTCTATGTCATGGTAAAGGAAACCAGATCGTACTGGCCGGTTCAACCGGTAAAACCGTGAATCAGGCCAGTGGCAAAACGACACCCTACTAGCGCTTGTTCTACCACGCTGGCCGGTATTATCGGTGTGACCGACATGTTTTGGTATCCCGTCCGGTTTAAATCAGACAGGCGGTAGGCAAATATGAAGAAAGTTGTCGTTTCATGCGACAAAATAAAAAAAACGATTAATGGACTAAATGTGCTAACCATAATCGATTTTTCGGCCTTCGGTCTCCAAATTTCACTTCCCCTGCCGCTCCTCCTTTCTCCAGAATGCCACATGCATGCTTTACCAGTCTGCCTGCTCGTGACGTAAAGAAGAGGTCGACGTCGCCCGCCGAGTGATCTCCAGACTCCAGTGCAACCTACCCCTCCCCCTCCTTGATCGCACTTCGTCTTCTCCAGTTATCTAGCAGTCCAGCGAGTCGGAGACCGCCTGCTCGATAGCTCGTGAATAGGAGAACGATGTCGGCCGCCTGCCCTTCTTCTTCTCCCTCCTGTGCTCTACCTCCTTTGCCTCTGGCGACCGGCGAGAAGGGCAGAGGACGAGCCTATCGCCGCGCGCCGAGCCTCCCTTTCCGCCATGCCGAGCCTCCCTCTCTGCCGCGCCGAGCCTGCCTCTCCGCCGTGCCAAGCCTGCCGTCGGTTGGAGTCACACGATCACTTAATTTGGTTTTCAATTAGGTAAGGAGAGTGGAATGAAATTTGGTAAATCTATTGTGCATTGAAAAGTGTTTGGCAATGAATAATGTTTGGTGACTCTGCTTGGTTATTGGTATCTCTATTCTAGTATTCTGATTATAATTTGGATGTTTCATTGTTTTGGCAACAATGGCTAGTGGAGAAGAATCCCGATCGGTTGATAAAGGAGAAACTCCTAGTAATTCGAAGGTTACCGCAAAGGGTGTACGAAGCAAAAGTGATCCAACTTGGGCTCATTGTTCCTTGCATCAGGATGGAAAAGTGGAGGTACTCACTTGTCTCTATTGTCAAAAATAATTTAGAGGCGGAGGAATCACTAGAATGAAAAAACATCTAGCTGGTGTTAGTGGGGATAATGCAATATGCTCAATGGTTTCGGAAGAGGTGAGCCAAAACATGCAGAAGCTATTGACTAATTATGAAACTAATAAGAAGAAATATGAAGTTGTCAAAGCTGGATCTAAAGAACCTCGTGATACAAATTCTTCTAGTGCACAAGATAATGTTAATAGTGCTAAAAGAGTTGCTCCTAATGTGTCTACCGGTTCGGTTGACACTTTCTTTGCTCCACGGTCATCTTCTGGTAGTCAACCGGGAATAAAGAGTGCCTTAGCAACTAAAGAAGCTGTATTGTATGTGGATCGAGCATGGACTAGATGGTTTTATGATGCATGTGTTCCTTTAGAAGCAATTAAATCTCCACAATTTAAAATAACATTGGATGCTTCTATGACTCATGGTCCTGGTTATGGCGGTCCTACATATTATGCTTTGAGGTTTACTTTGTTGGATAGCATTGTGAAAGAATGTCAGCTATTGATTGAGAATTTGAGGTCTCATTGGAAGGAATCTGGATGCACTATTATGGCGGATGGTTGGACGGATAATAGGCAAAGATCCTTAATCAATTTTCTTGTTTATTCTCCTGCTGGAACATGCTTTGTGAAGTCCATTGATGCTTCTGATTTGGTCAAGAGTGGAAGGAACTTGTTTAAGTTATTTTGTGAGGTCATTGATTAGGTTGGAGCGGAGAATGTTGTTCATGTGGTGACCGATAATGCATCCAACTATAAATTGGCAGGGACAATGATACATGAGCATTATGGTAATATATATTGGACTCCTTGTGTTGCGCATACCCTTAAGTTGATCTTGAGTGACATTGGATCTATTCCTCATGTTAAGAAGCTTGCCTATCGAGCTACCAAGGTCTCCAAATTTGTTTACAATCATGGTCCAATTTATTTCTGGTTGAAGACAAAAGAGAATTGGAAAGAAATAGTGAGACCTGGTGCTATTAGATTTGCTACTACATTTCTGAGTTTGCAAAGTACTTTTGAGCACATGCATGATTTGGAGGAACTGGTAATTAGTGAGTTCTTTAGAGAAAATGATCTTTCAAGTACTAAGGATGGAAAGGATGTGAAGGCAATTGTACTCGATCAACAGTTTTGGGCTGATTGTGAATTCATTGTTAAGTTGACATCTCCAATTGTTAAGTTGCTTTGAGTTGTGGATTCAGATAGTAACCCATCAATGGGGTATGTGTATGATGGGATGACTAGGGTGTCAAATGCTATTATGACTGTTTGTGGAGATAAGGCGGAATGCACAAGCCATACATGGATATCGTTAATAGGAGATGGGATAAGCACTTGAGCCGTGATTTGTTTATGGCAGCTCACTATCTTAATCCGGCTATTAAGTATGATGATGATTGGACAGAGGATAGGGAGGTTACATTTGGACTTCTTAATCTTATTGAGAACTCGTCTTTATGTCCTGATAATAGTGTGGTGGTGGCGGAGATGAATTTGTATGTTGAACGGTCAGGAAAGTTTGGGAGGAACATGACAATAGATTCTACACGAAACAACAACCAGGTAATTGATATCACTTGCATTGAAGTTATTCTATTTATTACAATATTTAAGAAACTAACATGTATGTTTTATATGTAGATAAGTGGTGGAAATGGTTTGGCATTGATGCTCCAAATATTCAGAAGTTGGCTATTCGAATTCTTAGCCAAACTGCTGCTTCTTCTGGTTGTGAACGTAATTGGAGTGTCTTTAAACGTGTGCACACCAAAAGAAGAAACAAATTGCAGCATAAAGTGCTTAGTACCTTGGTGTTTGTGAATTACAACTTGTGATTGCAAAATAGATAATGATTTGAATTATAGAACTTGTGTGTTGAATTCATACTTTCTATGCTTACTATTGAATTGAATTATTTTATGTTTTCTACTTTTATTAGGGAGTATTATACCAAGAACAACAAAGAATCATATGATCACATAAGTCTTGAAAGCATTGATTCTACTGTTACTAGTCACTGGTTGTCAGAAGGGGAAGAAAGCCATCTTCTAGGGACAAAGAATTGGATATTGATGAGCTGGAATGAGATTAGAAGAGGAAGGTTTGTTTGTAAATCAATTATGTATGATATGAATTCTAATACTAATAATTGATAATAATTCTTACTTGTTTTCTCTTGTATTGTAGTTGGTGATGACGAAGATGAAGGGGACGACTTGTAGAATGTAGACCTCTCTACATTTGGTGTTGTTTGAAGATATGGAGCGTTGTTCGTGAACGTTGTAGTGCTTGTGAGTTTGAGTTTGTGGTAGTTGTGAACTTGTGGTTTGAGAATATTGTTTGATTGTTTAGTACTTTGAACGAAAAGGAAATGTTGTTTGGTTTGAGAATGTTATTTGAACTTGTGGTTTGAGAATGTTGTTTGGTTGTTTTGTACTCGATCCTAAACATGCATTTGAACAATTATGTAGTTAATTCAGTAATGTTGCAGTTTGTTGATTGTTATATTACATATGCCTATTTAGTTTATTCAGGTTTGTTATCCGGTATATTCCGGTATTACTCCGAAACAGTATCCTGAATCTGTCGGTATGGTTTATTAACCAAAAATATTTTTTAATTACAAGAAACGGTATTTTGCCAGTACACAATGGTTGAACCACGGTCGTACCACAAAATACCCTACCGCTAACGGATCCGGTATGACCTCCGATACGGTTTCCTTTACCATGGTGTATGTGTGTTGGGATTGTGTTTAATATAATGTTTGAGATATTTTTCATGATCTTGAGTGTTTTTCTTTAGTCCGCCATCTTGTTGGACGTTTACTTCCACCATCTCAATGTCCTCAACTCCAAACTCCTCTTTAAAACCAACTTCTTCTTCTACTTCATCTTTAGGAGCAACTTGTGGTTGTCCCTGATATGCCAATCTATATCTTACCTCCCTCGACTCTCTCTCCCAAGCAAAGAGTGGGAGAGTTCAGTAAATGTTTTTGTCTAGTGGCGTCAAAGGTGTCGGATCATTCCGGGTCATGCACCCCGTACACACACTTTACTAAACACAACACAAGCCACGGAAAGCAAGATTCACACTACACAATTCAAGAAATGAAAAGCTAGAGTAACAATAAATGACTTTTTCTGAATAATAGATCGTAAATATTCTCCGGCATCAACACCAAAAACTTGACTCGAACCTAGCTACACAATTCCCAATCGATGGCCAAGTATAAACAACGATCGGTTGCATAAAAGGTCAAGGTTTAACTATCAACCAGAGGCAGCTTATGTACCCCTACTTCAATCGTTTATATATTATCTAGCTAACTGTTTGTGGTGAAATCTAAGGAACTACAGTGGAAAGCAAGCAAGCAAGCAAAGTAAATTTGTGGTGAATTCATATTAAGAAGTGAATCGGGTCCAATTGTACACATTTTACCCTTCATTTCTTGATAGTTTGACTTTGCATTTCATCATCTCTTGACCTATTATACACTAGGTTGTGCTATTTTTTATATATTTTAGGTCTTAGCATGCGTGGGAAGGTTGAGAGAATTGCTAGTCTCTTCGTCGATACGTGACTTAGGGAGGTATGTGTAGGGGCTATGAAGGACGTCTTTGTCATCATACTTGGATCCATCTTTAAAACATATGGATTGGTTCTTCCTACCATCCTTTTCAAGTTCGCAAACTCCTCAAATTAAGGAGTCTGCAACGCTTAAAGCTAAACAGGGGTCGATATGTAGCTTTATACATTCGAAATCATACCACGACAAGTACAAATTATAATATTCTACGGCCACAATAAAGTGTGGGGTAAAAGCCAAGTGTGAGGCATCCTATCCTTGGAAAAACCAGGTTTTGGAAGGGATACATGTTGAGTCTCCGTGGGGTAGTCCTACGAGATGACGCTAGTTCGTCTTTAGTATAAGTAAAATTTCCATCCGTATAATAGGATTGCCAACTTGAGGATGTGTTGTCAAGGGCACGGGTAAAGCTTCTGACACCCCCTTGACTAATTGACCCTCCGCATGATCACGGAAAGGGAGCTAAACTTCTCTTGCTTGATCAAGGCTTGCTAAGTACCAAAGTACAAAGCAAAATAAACCCACTAGGGCATAAAAGAGCACAATGTTTATAAAAAGTCTAGGCAAGCTCATCTTCGTACAAACACTATTCAAAACTCTTATGCGGGTTGAGATATGAATACTTTCTAATCACGCTACATAAGCTCCACCCCAATATTTGTAACAAAGGACTCGAGTAAGAGGAAGTGAACTCCTTCTCGTGAAAGATGAACTTTTTCGTCCTTACAAAGTACATTTAGAACATCATTGCAAGGATCAAAAGTTTTTAAGTGCAAGGGTTAACCTTTTAAGCTTCTTATGATCCACCACCTAAGATAAAAAGTCACGTGTTAATGTCCATGTCTAAGTGAGTTATAGGATTCTGAATTTATATTTTCTTGGGGATAAGCAAAGTTCAAGTGTGGGGTTATTTGATGACATGTAGAAAGTACGATTTTACGCTTTCATATTATGACCAAAACTTCATGGTTTACATATATTTATCGTCATAATACCTTGAATTCGCTTGATAATTGTTCAATATGTATTTTAATATCCCTAGGAATACTTTTACTATTTTGTTGCACTCTTGT